GAGGCCAGGGATGGTGCTAAATATTCTTTTTTTTTTTTTTTTTTTTGAGATGGAGTCTCGCTCTGTGGCCCAGGCTGGAGTGCAGTGGCGTGATGTTGGCTCACTGCAACCTCCGCTTCCCAGGGTCAAGCAATTCTCCTGCCTCAGCCTCCTGAGTAGCTGGAATTACAGGCACGTGCCACCACACCCAGCTAATTTTTGTATTTTTAGTAGAGACAGGGGTTGACCTTCTTGGTCAGGCTGGTCTCGAACTCCTGACCTGGTGATCCACCCACCTCAGCCTCCCAAAGTGCTGGGATTACAAGCGTGAGCCACCGCGCCCAACCCTAAATATTCTTTAATGCACATGACAGCTCTCCAGATGTCTGGTCCCAAATGTCCATAGTACTGTGGTTGAGAAACTCTGGATTATAGGACTCTAAGGTGAGTACTTTCTTTTTTTTTTTTTCTTTTTGAGACAGAGTTTTGCTCTGTTGCCCAGGTTGGAGTGCAATGGCACAATCTTGGCTCACTGCAACCTCCACCTTCCAGGTTCAAGCAATTCTCCTGCCCCAGCTTCCCCAGCAGCTAGGATTACAGGTATGTGCCACCACCCCTGGCTAATTTTTTTATTTTTAGTAGAGACAGGGTTTCGCCATGTTGGCCAGGCTGGTCTCGAACTCCTGGCCTCAAGTGATCCACCCGCCTCGGCCTTCCAAAGCGCTAGGATTACAGGCGTGAGCCACCACGCCCTGCCAGATGAGTACTTTCTAGTACAGGGAAAACTCAGTCCTTAACAAGGGAGCCCATTGACTGAACGCCCAGGTCTTTAACTTACATTAGCTCAGGAAGCCTTCACAATGACCATGGTAAGGCAATCACTGATGTCCTCCTTTTCCGGAGACGTTTTATTAAATTTTTATTTTATTTATTTATTTTTGAGACAGAGTCTCACTCTGTCGCCCAGGCTGGAGTGCAATGGCGCGATTTCAGCTCACGGCAACCTCCGCCTCCCGGGTTCAAGCGATTCTCCTGCCTCATCCTCCGAAGTAGCTGGGATTACCGGCGTGCACTACCACACCCAGCTAATTTTGTATTTTTAGTGGAGACGGGGTTTCTCTAGGTCGGTCAGGCTGGTTTCGAACTCCTGACCTCAGGTGATCTGCCCGTCTTGCCCACAGCTCTCAAGTCTGTAGGACTCCAGGGCTTGTAATTTTCCATAACACCTCAGTGCCTGCCTCTGCTCAGTGACATCACAAACGTCACAGACGTATTGTCTCACTCGGTTGTCCCCTAGTGTGTGAGCTGCAGAGAGCCAGGCCTATATACGCAGAGCCAGGCCTATATACGTGGAATATACGTGGGTACTTTCTGAAGCCTCCAGGCCTCCGTAAGGAAAGGATGCGTGCCCTGATGTCCGCACCCTGGCCCTTAGGCAAGCAAAGTTGAGGAAAGTTTGTTTTCCTAAGGGCCACCAGAGTTCTTTAAAGTGACAACTCTCTTGCCCACTTTAATGCTTGGGAGGATGGGAGGCTCCGCTCTCTAGTAGACCCAGGACACAAAATACTCCCTAGTATCTATAGAATGCTTTTTGAGTGATGAAGAATAGTCATATCCATGAATTTGGGGGGATGCTCACATCACAGGAGTAAATGAGAGAAGACACGTGGTGCAAAGTTCTTTTCCTGCCAGAATTAAAACTCACCTGAATCTTGTTCCGTAGGCTCTGGCACTCTACTTTCTCCATCTAATATACTAGATGATAATCAGCTCAACTTAGTTAAATCCATGCTAATAAAGAAAAAGTAGAGGACTTCCTGCACACCTCCACCCCAGGTGGTGGGAATTTCAGGCCCAGATGGAAGAAAGTTAGAGGGGGCGGGCACAGGGGATGGCAACCCACCTAGGAAGATTTCATAGGCTGACGGTGCCTCCCTGAGCCCTTCAAATCACCCATTCAGAAGGCAGCCACCCACTCCTCCTCAGGCAAACCGTGGTGGGCCGCATCACCCAGTGACTTAAGATCAGACCACACAGCCATTCAGCATTTCTTTGAATTTTATTGAAAATTGACATGGACATTAGAAAGGTAGTAAGCTAAACAGTGCTGGTTCTGGGATGTTTCTCCTGGAGAATGAAAGCCCCAGAGGGGCAGTGACTGGTCACACCTTTGAGCAAAAAGAACAAAGGAGAAGAAAGGAAAAGCACACACAGATTCTGGAAAACATGCAAAGAGGCTCTCTCAAGAGACACTGAACAGCAGAATGGTGGTGATGATGGTAGGGATCTATGAGAATGAGCACACTCACATGGTATTTTGATGCAAGTTAAACCAATGAATTCAAGGCAGATTTACCAACATCAAAGCTCTCCCTCCAGATCCCAGGTTGAGCAGAAACCTCTCTCAAAACCCCAACTGGTCTCAGAAGGTGGAATGGAGTAATTTTGCCCTCACTAAGCTTAAACCCCCTCCCTTCTCTCCCTTCTCTCCCTTCTCCACCTGAGTGTTAGATAGTGGACACATTTTTCCCCTTTGCTGGAATCTATAGAAGGTCTGTAAATGCTGAAGAAGATAAAAATGTCACTTGACTTTCTCTTCCATATTCAGAAATATTTTAACAGTGGCCGTAGACAGTCAACCCATCGAACCAGAGAAATGTTTAAAAGAAAAACACAAAACGCAAACAAAACCTTGTGAACAGAACAGTACTTCCACACCCACAGCTGAAGTGTCCTGCCCCAGTCACTTACACTTGGGTGAGTGGTCCTGTAGTTGTTTCTCTGAGGTTACATTTGGTCCATTTTCCAGCTCTGATGGTTCTTTTCCTGCCTTGTTAGTTAGGACAAGACACTTCCATTTAAAATACCATGTGAGTCGGGAAGAGAGCTTCTTGCCTGGACACAGGGACACATGAACACTTGTTGGGTGGTGTGGCGTATGTGTGTGTGCTTGCAGTTTGAGGGGAGAGGGAATTGGTTGATTTCTGATTTGAGACAATATGGAACCCTAACTCTTCTATAATGGCAGTCTTCTCCTTTAGACTTAGTGCAGCTGCTGAAGACAAGATTAAAAAAAGCTGGAGAGGGAGAGAGAAAGAGAAAGAAAACATGAGATTAGCCAAAGAAAGAGGACATTCAAAGTAAGACAGGGGGAGGGGAATGGGCAGTACTGAGGTAGCACAGATTATAGTTTGAGAAGACAGGTTAGAAATGGGGGTCACTGTTGGGCCATCACCACAGGGAAATCTGCTGAGAAGGTTTTAAGAACACCACACACCAGTTTAAAGCTTCTTGTTTTAATTAAAAACAAGCACATTATTAACAGCCACATGTGAATGCCAAATGATTAAAACATAAAAACAAAAACAAGAGCCATCTACACTGCAGCTAGGGAAAGCAAACTTCTTGGCTTAGGAGAAGTGAGGGATGTGTGTACGTGTGTGTGTGTGTGTGTGTATTTCAGAAAAGCCACTCCAGTCTGGGAAAATAAAAGCACAGACCATTGCTAATGACTGGTTTTGTTTCACCAGAAGTAAACAGAGTACTTAGGGTATTTTTTTTTAAAATAGTAACAGTTGTACTAATTTTTTGTTGTTGTTGTTGAGATGGAGTCTCACTCTGTCGCCCAGGCTGGAGTGCAGTGGCCGGATCTCAGCTCACTGCAAGCTCCGCCTCCTGGGTTTACGCCATTCTCCTGCCTCAGCCTCCAGAGTAGCTGGGATTACAGGCGCCCACCACCTCACCTGGCTAGTTTTTTTGTATTTTTTTAGTAGAGATGGGGTTTCACTGTGTTAGCCAGAATGGTCTCGATCTCCTGACCTCGTGATCCGCCCCTCTCGGCCTCCCAAAGTGCTGGGATTACAGGCTTGAGCCACCGCGCCCGGCCTAGTTGTACTAATTAAAACACCTTTTCATTGAAGAAGGAAAAAATCTTTCTGTCTACAGTGAATAAAGCCACCCAATGAAATACCCATTTTAATGGGCTTGATCAACTTTTTATGTTCACTCATGGGTTTGATTTTTGTTTACCAAACTTCCCTGATTATAATGGTCACCTAGGGCACCTGTTACACACAGTCTCCTGGACCCCGTTCCAGCCTTGCAGCATCACTGGGTTAAGGAGCTGGCCCAGCATGCCTTCATTTTGCCAGCCCTCACCCAATCCATCTTCAGATGTTTTTCTGTGGGAAAAAACCTCGAGGGTCTTCTAATACTAACTATTCAGTTACTCTGAACATCAAAAGGCCTCGTATCCAGGAACGTATATAAACAGACTGAATCCCTTTGTGAAATGGATTGGGAGTCAGGAGGCATGAAAATTAGTCTGGCTTCTGCCTGGAAACAGCACTGGGACCTTGCTCAAGTCCCTTCCCTTCTCTGGGCCTTCATTTCCCCTTACGGAGTAACTAGGTTATATCGTCTTACTGACTAAAATGTCTCCCTTAATATAAAACTCCTCTTTAGTTTCTGAAGGTCTCTCCAAGGCTGTGTGGGTCTAATACTTTCGAAGTATTCAGAGCTTCTCAAGCCTTAAGTAGTTAATCTGTACAGAAATGCAAATGAGGGCGCCTCCGGTTTGTAATGCAAATAATTACCGGGCTGCGGGGTCAGGGGTGGTAATTACCAGTTGGTTTTTTAAGCGTGAATTTCTGGGAAAGCAGCTCTGAAGCTGGACATAGAATCATCAAAGTTGCAAATACGAAGCCTTTCCCAGGGAGACCTGACAGGCCTAACTCAGCATCTCTCTGAGCTACTGGCTGAGTATCTGAGCAGATTTTTTTTTTTTTTTTTTTTGGTTGTTGGTTTGTTTCTACCTCCAAGCATATGGTCTTCAAAACAATACTCCACCATAACTTGAATTTTCCCAAGAAACTGGCTTGTGCTTTGGCAGCATCACCTTTATACTTGCTCTGGTCACTCACCAATCAGTAGAGCACCAGACGGTACACAGCAAACCTACACTTTTGCTTTGCCAACAAAAAAAAGGAAGTACGTGCATATGTTTGCTTTTCATTTTTTTCTTTTTGCTTCCTACTATGATCTATAATCGAAGCGAGAAATCCCCTTCCCCTTCTCAATACTTCAAAAAGGCCTGGAAATTTGGCATAACCTTGTTTGACTGTGTGCTTTGAAAGTAAGTGATCAAAAAAAGAAACTCTAAAAAAAAAAAAAAAAAAATAGAAGGTGGTCATGGTCAGTGCCAGTGGGGCTGGGAGGCAGGAGCAAGTTGCGGAACTCAAAAAGAAGTGAGCTTGAAGTACATGGCAGGGTAGGGGTGGGGGGCCTGGCTGCCTGGCACCCCAAAGGAAAGCTGTCAGTTAAAATAGAAACCTCGGCTTAAAAGGCTAAATGGAGTCCAGTCCAGCTGTAGCGGGGAATACTATTCAGTACACAGCCATGGATTACTGCAAAGGAAGGGCAGAGAGACGGCACGTTAGCCACAGATCATTGCCAGGTCAACTCCCTCTCTCACACTGTCACTGGCCAAACACCAAAGGCCACTGTGCCTCATAACCCTAACAAGGGAGGGCTCTCTACTTCACAGAGGTTCCCAAAGCCACTATCAGATGGGACCCATGATAAAAACTAGGGCTGGAATATTTTTAAACTCTCAACTCCTTAAATTGGAAAGCAAGTTAAGGGCCTTCCAAGGTGTAACACCTCTTTTCTTCTCTCCAGCCGATAGTCTCATCTCTTCTTATTGAGGGATGCATGCAAAATGCATGTTAAAAATCATCATGACGTTCACCAAATGAACTACAAGACTCATCAGAGCAAACCCCCAAACACTTGATTCTTTTGACAGCTCAGTTTTCCAGTCTACAAAGTGGGATTTATTATTCCTGCTACTGGCCTCACCCTATTGGGACAGTGTGGAGCCCTTCCGGAAATTACCCCTGAGATGCTGAAATACCTCACAAGAAGAACTCAGTAAGGCTATCATTCAAGACTCTAGGCTGGTAATAATATGTAGGTTTATTCTCCCTTTTGCATCTGTGGGATACCCAGAGTTAGAGAGAGGGGAAACGTCTGCTATTTTCTCCGGCAGTTGTGTTTTATGGGAAGGGCTTGGTGTAAATAAATGCGTTTACAGATTTTGAGCACAGCTTGAGTGCAGTTACTTCGAGTGAAGGAAAACTGGAAAGGGCTGGACTCAAAGGTTAGACGGAAAAGGCGCCAAAGGCTCTCCTTTTGAAACTCTCTAAGAAGCGGCTGCGGCTCCTGAGGATGAGGGTGGGGTGGGCCAGGGAAGACTAGTGACTGGGATACAGGAGACCAAGGGGGCAGCTGTGCTTATTGGTGCTTACCCAGCCATGGTGGATGCAAATACCTCAGGGAAAACTACCAGCAACCAGAACTGGAACAGGGGAGCTGCTGGGGAAGAGTAGCAGATGGGCCCCCTGACCATGTCACACCTCTGGCAAAGATGTGGGGGAAGACAGGGGGGATGGCTGGGGGTGCTGGGAGGGGGACTGGGATGCAGGATGCATCTGCGAGCCACATGACTGTTGGCTTCTTGACCAGCGGCCAGACATCGCCCTCAGATTCTCAGGTTTCTATAAACCTTGGCAGGAAGAGAGGAGAGGGCCTGGGTTGGACTGTATGCCCCCCAGGCATGTTAAGGGGGAAGTTAGAGAAAGGGAGGCCCAGCTCTGTTGCGCAGGAAAAGGGTGTCTACAGGAAGCCCAAACTGAAAATGAAAAGAGAAGCTGAGTTAATGAATGGATAGATTAATGTACCAAAAAAAAAAGAAAAAAAAAGAAAAAAATAGTCAGAAGAAAATTAAGTCATGAGGACTAATGGCTAAATTAGAATTTAGCTATGTTAGATGGTCTTAAGGTCTTATTGCATTGGCTCCAGGGAACATGCTTTCTAATACACTCCACACACACTCCCACATGATGGCAGCAGTGGCATTAGCCAGCAAAATAATGATCAACAACCACAAAAATACATTTTATCTCTTTTTTTTTTTTTGAGATGGAGTTTCAGTCTTTCACCCAGGCTGGAGTGCAGTGGCGCGATCTTGGCTCACTGCCACCTCCATCTTCCAACTTCAAGCGATTCTCCTGCCTCAGCCTCCTGAGTAGGTGGGATTACAGGCACCTGCCACCATGCCCAGCTAATTTTTGTATTTTCAGTAGAGACGGGGTTTCACCATGTTGGCCAGGCTGGTCTCGAACTCCTGACCTCAAGTGATCCGCCCGCCTCAGCCTCCCAAAGTGCCGGGATTACTGGTGTGAGGCACTGAGCCCGCCCTATCTCTTCTTAATGACTAGGTCCTGACTAATGTCTCCCCTCCCCCGCCCCCCACACCACCACCTAATACCTTGTACAGGAATACCTTCTGCAAATCTCTAAGTGGCCTCAGGCCACCGGATAGAGCCCCAGGCTCTAGCCACTGCATTTCCTGTCCCATAAGGAAAGCAGAGGAGGCTGAGGTTTCACAGCAGGAGGCCCTCAGAGCTGTCCTAGTCAGCTAACTGGTACTCTGGGGCAAGACCTGTTTGCAGAGCATATGAGGATGGTTGCTGGTTGCTGAACTCTGCTCTAGGGTCCAGACCACAGTTAACTGAAAACATGAACTATGGAAACCCATCATTGGTTTGTGCTTAAATAATACTTTCACCTCTCTTCCATGTAAGTTTCATTCCTGTGACAAATATACGGCAAGTAGGACTGATCCCCATTATACATATGAGTAGACCGAGAAACACAAGAGAAGTCAATAGACTTGCCTGTGGCCGCAAAAGAGTCACAGCTGGGCCCAGAGCTGGTGTGTGTGTGTGTGTGTGTGTGTGTGTGTGTGTGTGTGTGTGTGTGTCTGTGTATTTTTATTTTTATTTCTTTTGGGACGGAGTCTTGCTCTGTCACCCAGGCTGGAGTGCAATGGTGCGATCTTGGTTCACTGCAACCTCCGCCTCCCAGGATCAAGCGATTCTCCTGCCTCAGCCTCCCAAGTAGCTGGGATTACGGGCGCCCGCCACCATGCCCGTCTAATTTTGTATTTTTAGTAGAGACGGGGTTTCACCATGTTGGCCAGGCTGGTCTCGAACTCCTGACTTCGGGTGATCCGCCTGCCTCAGCCTTCCAAAGTGCTAGGATTATAGGCACGAGCCTCTGCGCCCGGCGCCAGAGCTGTTGTTTATTTAAGACTATCACATGCAATGTCCCTGAGAATTCCTTGGCTATAGATCTAAGCCCCTATTTATTACCCGAAGAATAAATTTATCCCATTAAATAAAGACTATTAGATATCTGTCAGGGATAGAAGTATGGGCATAAATGAGTATGTTTTACAGTCACTTCCTCAAAGGGAATATACTCCCATACATACACTTTGAAGGTATACACACGCTGAGGTGAATGGTCATTTATATCAGAAATTAGGAGTTCTGCCACCAACTCACCGTGTGGTCCTTGGTAAATTCCTTAAATTCTCTGCTCCTCCATTTACTCTCTTTACTCTCTCTCTCTCTCTCTTTTTTTTTTTTTTTGAGATGGAGTCTTGGTCTGTTGCCCAGGCTGGAGTGCAATGGTGTGGTCTCAGCTCACTGCAACCTCCACCTCCCGGGTTCAAGCGATTCTCCTGCCTCAGTCTCTAGAGTAGCTGGTATTACAGGCACCTGCCACCACGCCCAGCTAATTTTTATATTTTTAGTAGAGATGGGGTTTCACCATGTTGGCCAGGCTGGTCTCAAACTCCTGACCTCAGGTGATCTGCCCGCCTTGGCCTCCCAAAGTGCTGGGATTACAGGCGTGAGCCACCATGCCCGGCCAACTCTCTTTAAAACAAAACAAAACAAAAAAATAGAGACGGGGTTTCACCATGTTGCCCAGGCTGGTCTCCAACTCCTGGGCTCTAGTGATCCTCCCACCTCAGCCTCCCAAAGCGCTAGGATTACAGGAGTGAGCCACCTCACCCAGCCTCCATTTACTCATCCTGCAAACTGGGGATTATTCCTTCTCTACCTCACAGACCTGTTGTAAGTATAAAATGAGATACCATATCAAAAAACCCCCAAAACCAAAAACAACAACAACAACAACAACAAAACCACTTTGGAAAGTAATAAAAGCTATACAAATGCTCATATCTTATTTTTATTCTTTGTCTACTTCCTAGGGGAAGAGTAACCTAAAAAACACTGCAATGGCCTATGTTCTAGGTTTCATGGGAAGGCTGATATATTTTGATGTGTGTATACTGTCCATATACTGTGCACTCCTAAGGACCAATAACGACTGAGATAGAGTATCTGCAACTATGTGGGGGGTCACAAATGAATCGCTTTTACAAATGCAGAGAGCTATAAGTAGCGCCTCAAGCAATTTCAAAATGTGGAGGCACAGTAAGCCTCACTCTGCCTGCATTCTAGGTGGCCTTTGTGATCCACCCCTTGAATGAGGGCTTTGAGGAGGGGGCGGGTTGCCTTTGCTGCTTTCAGATCCTGGGGGGGCCAAAGCCTCCTGTGACCAAGCAGTTGGTCTGGAACTGCTTTCGTGGTCTGCCAGGGAGAAGCCTGCCAGGAAGAGCCAACCTACTTGGGGTTGGGGTTGGCTGTTCCAGCTGTTTACCAATTGCCTCTCACTTGTAAAGTGTAGCTTTAATTATAGTTTTGCCAGAATTCATTTTAGGAATGGCCACTAACACTGATTTACTTGGGGAAACCTGTATGCAATTGTGTCAAGCCATGTGCCGTGAAACCTGAATTAACTGAAATCTCATTAACTAGAATACATATTTCCTGCTCATCTCATTAAAAATGGGGGAACAAAGAACATAACACATGAACCAAGTTCTTATTACATGTCAGACACTTCGCTAGGCACTGGAACTACATACAGTGCAAGGAATGGACAGACATTCTAGGAACTGTCTTCCTAAATGGAAATCTGCTGTTTAATTCCAATCAACTAGCAGGGGCTCCAAGACTTGCTGTTAAGCCAGACAGTAAATCAAGTCATTGTTCTTTTAAGATTGTTTCCTTTGGCCCGGTTTCATGGGCCTTATGTTGCAGAAACCTCTATGGACTTCCTCTTCAGGATTTGCTTCCAAGCAGGATGTTTTGCCAGCTGCCCTGAGTCCCCAGTGCAATAGCTGCGGCAATCAGTTTGGTGACTAACAGCAGGTTCTCCATTTAAATCATAAACTACATGGGTGAGTGGGGAAAAGTCTTTTCTATATTTTATATTCCCCGATCCAAACAAACCAAATGTAAAAGGGCATTTATGAGACAACCGGGATGTTTCAAACACTGACTAGACATTTCATGTTAATGAATTATTGTTCATTGTGTAGGTGTGATAATGGTGGGGTTGTGGTTATGTTTTTTTTAAAGAATCGTTATCTCTTGGAGATATATACTAAAGTATTCACAGATAAAAGGATATAGTTTTGCTTTATAATAATTCAGCAGGTCTGTGGTAATTGATGAAACAAGACTGGGCATACGTTTATGGTTGTTTGGGGGCTGGGCTCTGGGCTGAACTGTATTATCCTCTCTTATTTTGCTCATGTTTTAAAGTTTCCATGGTAAAGTTTAAAAAAAAAAAAATAACCCTTAGTTGGGTGCAGTGGCTCACGCCTGTAATCTCAGCACTTTGGGAGGCCAAGGTAGGCAGATCACCTGAGGTCAGGAGTTTGAGACCAGCCTGGCCAACATGGTAAAACCTGGTCTCTACTAAAAATACAAAAATTAGCCAGGAATAGTGGCACATGCCTATAATCCCAGCTACTTGGGAGGCTGAGGCATGAGAATTGCTTGAACCCAGGAGGCGGAGGTTGCAGGGAGCTGGGATTGTGCCACTGCACTCTAGCCTTGGCGACAGAGGGAGACTCTGTCTCAAAAAAAGAAACAAACGGAAATAACCCTAATTATGTTAAATTAAAAATGTTTGTATTTCCTTTCCATCCACTACCTGAGTCTAGTAGAGGAGATAGAAGGTCCTTAATCCCTGCTTTCAGTCTCTCTATAAACTATGTGATACTTTATAAACTTTTATTAATACAACATCTAGCACTGAGGAATCCTTACCTGCTGATCTCCTTATAAGAGGTTTTCATGAGGCCAGTACTTGTAGGATTAAATGTAAGGAATTCTCTGTAATTTCTAAGATCTCTTCATTTTCCTCCACTTTTATTATAGGTTTTTGTTTTGTTTTTTTGAGACGGAGTTTCACTCTTGTTGCCCAGGCTGGAGTGCAATTGCGTGATCTTGGCTCACCGCAACCTCTGCCTCCCAGGTTCAAGCGATTCTCCTGCCTCGGCCTCCCGAGTAGCTGGGATTACAGGCATGCACCACCACGCTTGGCTAATTTTGTATTTTTACTAGAGACAGGGTTTCTCCATGTTGGTCAGGCTGGTCTCGAACTCCCGACCTCAGGTGATCCACCCGCCTCGGCCTCCCAAAGTGCTAGGATTATAGGCGTGAGCCACTGCTCTCAGCCTTATTATGGTTTTGAGGGGTACAGTCAAAGGAAATTTGAGAACTTGAACCCCTCAGATAAGAAACTGCCACCAGCAGGAAACAGAGAAGTGAGTTTCCATTGACTCTGGACATTCTCAAACCTGATGCAGGGAGATGGGAGAGGGTTGATGCTGACTGTGACACTGCAGGACAGGGCTTGTGAAACCCAAAGTTTCTCTCATCACTATGGTTTCATTAATTTTGAAAATGATGGTTATAGCTCCTTTTGTTTTTGAGATGGAGTTTCACTCTTGTTGCCCAGGCTGGAGTACAATGGCGTGATCTCGGCTCACTGCAACCTCCGCCTCCCGGGTTCAAGTGATTCTCCTGTCTCGGCCTCCCAAGTAGCTAGGATTACAGGCCTGTGCCTCCACGCCCGGCTAATTTTTTTTGTATTTTTAGTAGAGATGGGGCTTCACCATGTTAGCCGGGATGGTCTCAATCTTCCGATCTCAGGTGATCTGCCCTCCTCGGCCTCCGAAAGTGCTGGGATTACAGGTCTGTGAGCCACAGTGCCCGGCCCGATTATGGCTCTTTAAGAAAAAAACTGCCCACACTGAAACCTCAAATACTGATCACAGGATCCACCTGTGTTACCCAGCTGTTCTAGCAGCAAAAGTCTGAAAACGACCCCTCATTTTAATCAGGCAGGCAGGCATTCCACATGTACACTTGAAACCACACTAGACTATTTCTGCATATTATAAGTCACGAGAGAAAACCAGCTAGACCAATGAAGCAGCTTCTTCTATGATTAGATGCTTGTGTTGGGGGTGCGGGACTGGGGGAGATATGTTCTAGAAGCCACTGCCAGTTCTATTTAGAGTTAATCAAGCTTACCAGGACCCTGGGTCTCATGCAGCATGCAGCAAACAGCAGAGTTAACTGTAAAACAGTAAGAGCTGATGAAGATGGAGTGAGCATGAGGAGAAATCAAATATTATGACTTGACACAAACAATGAAGGGTTAGAGGTCAAAGGTGATTAGGAGTAGCAGGAAGGGGAAGTGGGAAGGGTGGACTGGTAGGAACCCCTGAAACACTGATACTCTTTTTTTTTTTTTTTTTTTTTTTTAAAGTCAGGGTCTCCCTCTGTTGCCCAGACTGGAGTGCAGTGGTGCAATCACGGCTCACTGCAGCCTCAACCTCCCAGGTTCAAGCAATTCTCCCACCTCAGCCTCCTGAGTAGCTGGGATGATACGCAAGTGCCACCAGGCCCAGCTAATGTTTAATTTTTTTTTTTTTTGTAGAGACAGGGGCTTCACTATGTTGCCCAGGCTAATCTCAAACTCCTAGACTCAAGCAATCCTTTGCGTTGGCCTCCCAAAGTATTGGGATTACAAGCGTGAGCCACCACGGCTGGCCAATACTTTCTTAATCTCTTTAGGGGCAGCTAAAGGAAATTCTGAATATGTGACTCTTAGATCCAACCACCATCTCTCAAGAAGAAATACTACTACCACCATTTCTGCCCTCAAAACTCACTACCATGACTATGGGAGGAGGGTGGCACAGGTCTAACGGTGGCTCTTCCAGAAGTTAACCAATTGCTCATGAAATTACATAAGAAGCCAAAACCCAGGGCCACTTCTGCATCTGGAAGTACGGAAGAAGACAGGTCATTCTGTCAGGCCCTTATTGCTAATATGAGGTGCTACATGCCAGCAGGGTTTTCACCCATTTCAGAATTGGAAAGGAGCACTGTCACCAACCCCAAATATTCCTGGAGAGTAGAGAGGGGTATCTCCCTCTTGGGGTCTCCTGCCTGGGGTCGGAGAAGTCAGTCAGTAAGGGCAACAAGGGGAAAGCTTGATGTGAGAAGAACTTTTACTGAACATCTGAATAGGGAATATTTATAGTTTCAATGTAGCCTGAACAAACCAATTCCTAACTCCCGCAAGCAGGCTATGAAACTGCCCCAGGTACTGAGTTAACAAATACCACAAGGACCATGAAGGCAGCAGTTATAGCTGGATGACAAATTTAGATTTTTCTGATCTTAAAAATAGGAATTCATTCCTGCTGGTGCAACTAATACACCACGACAGATAAGTTAATACAGTACAGGGTGTGTCCAAAGAGACTTTTTTTCTGGCTAGTTGAACTTTATCCATCAGGTAATACCAAAAAAGTTCATTCATCAGTGAATTTGACATATAGTATTAAGATTCAGTAAGAAAAATTTCTGGACTAATTGGTGAAGATTTTTTTTTTTTTTTTTTTTTAGACAAAGTCTCACTCTGTCACCCAGGCTGGAGTGCAGTGGCACGATCTTGGCTGTGCAACCTCCACCTCCCAGGCTCAAGTGATTCTCCTGCCTTAGCCTCCTGAGTAGCTGGGACTACAGGTGTGGGCCATCACACCCAGCTAATTTTTGTATTTTTAGTAGAGACGGGGTTTCGCCATGTTGCCCAGGCTGGTCTCAAACTCCTGACCTCAGGTGATCTGCCTGCCTCAGCTTCCCCAAGTGCTGGGATTACAGGCGTGAGCCACTGTACCCAGCCAAGATGTTTAAATTACGCATTTGAATAAAGAGTAATTGGATTGCAAAGCTGAGTGCCTTCAAATATAACGTATTTTACTGTTAAGCAAAAGTTACCATGTTATTCCTAAGTGATAAGCCAGAGGAAAGGAAGGTGTTTCTTCCTTCTGGCAAAAATATCCCATAGTTAAGTCCAGGAACAAATGGCTGGAAACAGAAGGCAATGACCATGGACACCTTTTGGATCCTCAGTACCCTTTAGTAAAGACACTGCTAAACAGTCCACCTGGGAACACCTCAACCCACACTGCACAAACAACTGCAGGGCACAAGGGCACCACAGGAGTTTTTCTAGATCCCGTTGAAATACTTTTCTCTGGTTCTAGGATGAGGAATTGATAACTTCAGCAAGCAGAGACTGGGGTTGGGTGAGGATTATTGACCCACATGGTATCTAGGAGTCACTGTTCTAATACCAGGGGAGATGAGAAGTCTTAAAATCATTCCACAGATTGAGGATGGGGCACATGCAGCATACACTGACATCTGAGGGCTCCCCTGTTAAGTTCTCAGCACCCCAGGCTGGGCAGAACTAAGCCAGCAGGGAGGGATCACAAAGAGGTAGGAAATCAGGGCTGGGCTGCAGCCTTCAGTGGCAGCAGTTAAATTCTGTTGGCTGCAGCGAGTAAGAACTGAGGCAGGGTGAGGGTGGGACTACGGCCAAGGAGAGATGAGCAACCTCAGATATAGGGCAGGGGTGGGGAGAGAGTGCACTGAGTTTCTGCTAAAGGCTCTCTCTTTCTTCCACTACCCTGTATCTGCACTTCTTTTTTTTTTCTTTTCGAGACAGAGTCTCAATCTGTTGCCCAGGCTGGAGTGCAGTGGTGCGATCTTAGCTCACTGCAACCTCCGCCTCCTCAGTTCAGGCAATTCTCCTGCACAGCCTCCCAAGTAGCTGGGATTACAGGCGCACGCCACCACGCCTGGCTAATTTTTTGTATTGTTAGTGGAGACAAGGTTTCATCATGTAGGCCAGGCTGGTCTCGAACTCCTGAACTCAAGTGATCCACCCGCCTTGGCCTCCCAAAGTGCTGGGATTATACCATATCTGCAGTTCTTTTTGTTCCTCTCTTTCTTTTCTATTTTTTTTTTTTCAGATGGAGTCTCACTCCATTGCCCAGGCTGGAGTGCAGTGGTGTGATCTCGGCTCACTGTAACCTACACCTCCCAGGTTCAAGTGATCCGCCTGCCTCAGCCTCCTGAGTAGTTGGGACTATAGGTGTGCATCACCACACCCAGCTAATTTCTGTATTTTTATTTTTATTTTTTTAGATGGAGTCTCGCTCTGTCGCCCAACCTGGAGGGCAGTGGTATGATCTCAACTCACTGCAACCTCCGCCTCCTGGGTTCAAGCGATTCTCCTGCCTCAGCCTCCTGAGTAGCTGGGATTACAAGCTCACGCCACCACGCCTGGCTAATTTTTGTGGTTTTAGTAGAGACAGGGTTTCACCATGTTGGTCAGGCTGGTCTCTAACTCTTTTTTTTTTATTTTTTATTTTTTGAGATGGAGTCTCGCTCTGTAGCCCAGGCTGGAGTGCAGTGGCGCGATCTTGGCTCACTGCAAGCTCCACCTCCCGGGTTCATGCCATTCTCCTGCCTCAGCCTCCCAAGTAGCTGGAATTACAGGCGCCCACCACCAAACCCAGCTAATTTTTTTGTATTTTTAGTAGAGATGGGGTTTCACCATGTTAACCAGGATTGTCTTGATCTCCTGACCTCGTGATCCACCCGCCTCGGCCTCCCAAAGTGCTGGGATTATAGGCATGAGCCACTGCGCCCAGCCTATTTTTTTTTTTTTTTTTTAAGTAGAGATGGGGTCTTGCCATATAGGCCAGGCTGGTCTCGAACTCCTGACCTCAAGTGTTCCTCCTGCCTTGGCCTCCCAAACTGCTGGGATTACAGGCGTGAGCCACCTTGTTCCTCTCTTATATTGAGAGGCCTTGTTCCTCTCTTATATTGCTGCACCTCTAATTTTTTTCCTCCCTTCTGCTCTCTCACTCTCCCTTTGCTTTTCCTCTTTTCCCTTCCTCTCCCATGGACCTTGAGTTTGCAGGGCTTTCCTGAGCAAGCTGGACAGATGGGCTGGGCCTCTGGGACCACACCCCTCCCCTATTCTCAACTCCCCAAGCTCAGGGAATCAAAAGGTCCCACAGGGATGCTGGGACCAGTTATAGGTACCTCAACCAGTCTGACAGCCCGCAGCTCACCTCTGGTCACCAGTCCTCAGCCCCTTCAGGTGCCACGTCCTGCCCCGGGAGGATGAGCAGCAGGAAAGAGAAGGCACCACCCGAGAGCAGACTGCTACTTACTTTTTCTTCTCTTTGTCTCTCTTCAGAGTCTGTGAGCCTCCAGCCTGGGAGCCCTGGGACTGGAGCAGCTCGGCTGCTGTCTTTCTTTGCTTGAAAGCATTCACTTCATCATCCAGGGATTTCTTCTTATCCTCCAGTTTCTTCTTCTCGTCCTGGTGCAGTTTCTTCAGACGGTCAAACTTCTCGTGCAGCTGGCAGGGAAGCACAGGGAGATTGGAGAGAGTCCCCTGTGAGCAGTCCCCAGCCTGGCCAAGCCCAGATGGGTGGGGACCAGTAGGGCTGTGACCCTGCAGGACCCTGGAACCTCAGGGGGCATTTCTGTCAGGGATTGCCATGATGGCACCAAAGGCACCATGCTCTGGATCATTCTCTCCTCCTGTCATTTTATCTCCAAGTCTCTGCTCCTGAATATGGTAAAGGAACACTGCATTGTGTTTAGTCAGACATTTTGTTAAAAAGAGTCCCCATAGTTACCACACATGTTCAATAATAACATCAATGATAATAATATAACATTTACTGAGTGCTGGCCGGGCTCAGGCCTGTAATCCCAGCACTTTGGGAGGCCGAGGTGGGCAGATTACTTGAGGTCAGGTGTTCAACACCAGCCTGGCCAACATGGGGAAACCCCGTCTCTACTAAAAATACGAGAATTAGCCAGGCATTGTGGCATGTGCCTGTAGTCCCAGCTACTCAGCAGGCTGAGGGAGGAGAATCACCTGAACCTGGGAGGCAGAGGTTGTACTAAGCCGAGACCACACCACTGCACTCCAGCCTGGGCAACACAGCAAGACTCCGTCTCAAAAAAAAAAAAAATTTACTGAGAAATTATTATAGGCTAAGCACTAACTTTTATAAGCCCTTTATGTATATTAACTTATTTAATTGTTACCACATTCCTATGAGGTAGGTTCTTTATTATCTCTATTTTATGAGGAAACAGAAGGTCTAAGAAGTGAGGAATTTGACTATGGTCAACCCAGTATTTAGAGCATTATATAACGGGACCTCTTATGTGTAAGGAACCCCTGTCTTTTCTTAACCCCACAATCAGGAAGGATCACCACGGATCACAGAGAAAACTTCAGTAATGGGAAAGTCAGTCAATGGAAATGCTTGGCTTTGGGCATGGAAGGAAATAAAAAGGAGTTTATGACATGGAATGAGTACAGACACCTCAGCCTTAACTAAAGGGAGGCTTCATTAGTCCTGAATAGAACCAGAAACCCAAAGAACAAGAAGAATATTCTGGGCCAGGCACAGTGGCTCATGCCTGTAGTACCAGCACTTTGGGAGTGCTGTAATCCCGGTAGTCAGCTCAATCCCAGCCAAGGTGGGTGGTACGAAGTCAGGCGTTCTAGACCAGCCTGCCCAACATGATGAAACCTCGTCTCTACTAAAAGTACAAAAATCAGCTGGGCGTGGTGACGCGTGCCTATAATCCCAGCTACTCGGGAGGCTGAGGCAGGAGAATCGCTTGAACCTGGGAGGCGGAGCTTGCAGTGCGCCAAGATCGCACCACTGTACTCCAGCCTGGGCAACAGAGCGAGACTCTGTCTCGGAAAAAAAAAAAAAAAAAGAATATTCTGCTATGCCATTGTGGTAAGTGGATCAAAGAACAAGAGGCACAGACAGTCACAAACTAAAATGCAATAAACTACCCTGAATAGTAAGAGCAGAGCAAGCTGAATTGCACTTTCTTTCATGGATTCGGAAAAGAGTTTAGGATTCTGTAGCACTTGCAGCATACCATGAAGAAAGTTGGTTCTCTGGGTCCTGGGGGTATTTGACACTGTCACTTAGGTAGGTGAGTGATAGACTTGCTGTATAAACCAGCTCTTTTCTTTTTTCTTTCTTTCTTTCTTTCTTTTTTTTTTTTTTTTTGAGACAGAGTATTGCTCTGTCGCCCAGGCTGGAGTGCAGTGGCACGATCTCGGCTGCAACCTCCGCCTCCCGGGTTCAAGTGATTCTCCTGCCTCAGCCTCCCGAGTAGCTAGGACTACAGGCGCATGCTACCACTCCTGGCTAATTTTTTTGGTATTTTTAATAGAGACAGGGTTTCACCAAGTTAGCCAGGATGATCTCGATCTCCTGACCTCGTGATCCGCCTGCCTCGGCCTCCCAAAGTGCTGGGATTACAGGCGTGAGCCACCACAACTGGCCTAAAGCATCTCTTAGTCACTAGGGCTGCCTATCAGTTGCCTTAACCTGGCTTTTGTTTGTTGTACTTTTATTAATTTGTCTTTGAGATCCCCTCAATTCTCCTAGAAGTGATGGGTGACATCTTTTTTTCTTTTTCTTTTTTTTTATTGAGACAGTCTCACTTTGTCACGCAGGCTGGAGTGCAGTGGCCTCGATCTCTCGGCTCAAGCATTCCTCCCACCTTAGCTTCCTGGGTAGCTGGGACTACAGGCACATGCCACCATGCCTGGCTAATTTTTTGTATTTGTACTTTTTTATTTTTATTATTATTATTTTTTGAGATGGAGTCTCACTCTGTCGCCCAGGCTGGAGTCCAGTGGCACAATCTCGGCTCACTGCAACCTCCACCTCCTGGGTTCAAGCAATTCTTCTGCCTCAGCCTCCCAAGTAGCTGGGACTACAGGTGCGTACCACCATACCTGGCTAATTTTTTGTAATTTTAGTAGAGACGGGGTTTCACCATATTAGCCAGGCTGGCCTCGAACTCCTGAACTCGTGATCCGCCCACCTCGGCCTCCCAAAGTGCTGGGATTACAGGTGTGAGCAACCGCGCCCGGCCAATTTTTTGTATTTTTAATAGAGACGGAGCCTCAGTATGTTGCCCAGGCTGGTCTTGAACTCCTGGGCTCAAGCAATCCACCCGCTTTAGCCTCCCAAAGTGCTGGGATTATAGACCTGAGCCAAAGCACCTGTCTGACTTTTTTTTTCTTTTTAAGTGAAACTGGGAAAAAAAAAAAAAAAAAAAAAAAAACCAATGCCCTTGTCATGGGCTTTGGTGAGAACCCTTGAGAGTGCGACAGGTTAAATGTGGAAGAGATTTGTGAAGTAATTAAGTGTTTCCTTTCTTTTTTTTCTTTTTGAGATAGAGTCTTGCTCTGTCACCCAGGCTGGAGTGCAGTGGCACGATCTCAGCTTACTGTAACCTCCGCCTCCCAGATTCAAGTGATTCTCCTGCCTCATCCTCCCAAGTAGCTGGGACTATAGGCATGTGCCGCCACACTCCACTAATTGTTGTATTTTTAGTAGAGACAGGGTTTCACCATGTTGGTCAGGCTGTTCTCGAACTCCTGACTTCAGGTGATCCAACCACCTCGGCCTTCCAAAGTGTTGGGATTACAGGCGTGAGCCACAATGCCCAGCCCGATGTTTGGATTTCTGTTCCTGTGTTAGTTTGCTGAGGATAATGGCTCCCAGCTCCATTCACATCCCTGTAAAGAACATCCTCTCATTCCTTTTCATGGCTCTATAGTATTCCATGGTGTATATGTACCACATTTTCTTTACCCAGTCTATCATTGATGGGCATTTGGGTTGAGTCCATGTCTTTCCTATTGTGAATAGTATTGCAGTGAACATATGTGTGCATGTATCTTTATAATAAAATGATCTATAGGATTGCTGGGTCGAATGGTATTTCTGATTCTAGGTCTTTGAGGAATCACCACACTGTCTTCCACAATGGTTGAAGTAATCTACATTCACACCAACAGTGTAAAAGCGTTCCTATTTTTCCACAGCCTGACCAGCAGCTGTTGTTTCTTGACATTTTAATAATCACCAGGCTCACATTTACCTCTTTCTCTGCCTCTTTGAGCTCTGCTTCTTTCTCTTTGACTCTCTGGACGAACATCTGTCTCATCTCCTCTTCTTTTTTCTGGAGTTCCCCTAGGAACTCATTTCTTTTGGCCTCATACGTCTCCTGTAAACTGCGAACATGGTCAGGTTAATTCTTCTTCCTTTGGAATGGCTCCTGTTTGATAAAACTGGCCCCAAAGATCCTCACTGGGTTCCTCTGTCCTCCCTTCCCCAGTTGTGAGCCAGGTACAAAAATAGAACCACAAAACTGTGGGCACCTGGCTTGGCCCATGACAGCAGGCCCACAGGGCTTCCGAAGAGGGATGGGGCAACCCTAGTGAACTGGAGAGACTTAGAATATCTGATTCTATACTCTTGTTCTACGGATGAGAAAACTGAGGCCCAGAGAGGTGAGGTGTCTTGCTCAAGGCTCCATGGCTAGTTAGAGGGAGACCTTTGACCAGAAGCTAAGTCTCCCGTCTCTTCATCTGGGTTTTCCCTTGCACAATGCTGCCAGGCCCTAGCTCTGAAACCGACCACATGAATGAACTATTTCAACAAATGCTTGAGGAGACTCCATATGTGCTAGACTCAGTACTAATTGACATGATGCTAGTCACTCAGCCTCTACAGCCAACAGCCATCATACTTGCCATCAAGGAACTCATGGTCTAGTGGGAAATGCCCCTGGCCTAAGTTTATTTTTAAAGAAATAGGAGATGATAGGCTGGGTGCGGTGGCTCACACCTGTAATTCCAGCACTGTGGAGGCCAAGGCCGGTGGATCACCTGAGGTCAGGAGTTCGAGACCAGCCTGGCCAACATGGTGAAACCCCCATCTCTACCAAAAAATATAAAAAATTAGCCGGGCGTTGTGGTGGATGCCTGTAATCCCAGCTACTTGGGAGGCTGAGGCAGGAGAATCGCTTGAGCCTGCTAGGCGAAGGTTGAAGTGAGCCAAGATCGCGCCACTGCACTCCAGCCTGTGTGACAGAGTGAGACTCCATCTCAAAAAAAAAAAAAAAAAAAAAAAAAAAGGCAATAGCCTGGTGAAGAAGAGGTGGAACTGTGATCCAAAGAGGGCAGCATGTAAGAAAGCTCATGTGGAGAGAGAATGACATTCTTAGGGAGCCAGGTGTGGTTCAACATGGCCAGAGAGCACCATGGCAATGCTGGAGTAGAGGCAGACGAAGTTCCTGAGCCTGGTGGAAGAGAACAGGCTTTGAATGACATATTTAAAAATTGGACGTGTGTGCACTGCATGGTTTTAAAGCAGGAAGTAGTACTAGATCCAATTTGAAGATGAGAAGGACCACTCTGGCTGTGTTGTGAGAAGGATAGACTTTCCATCAATCCAAGTAAGAAGTGACAGGATCTTGGCTGGGCGTGGTGGCTCATGCTTGTAATCCCAGCACTTTGGAAGGCCAAGGTGGGTGGATCACTTGAGGTCAGGAGTTCAAGACCAGCCTGACCAATATGGTGAAACCCCGTCTCTAATAAAAATACAAAAATTAGCCGGGCGAGGTGGTGGGTGCCTGTAATCCCAGCTACTTGGGAAGCTGAGGCAGGAGAATCACTTGAACCCCGGAGACCAAGGTTGCAGTGAGCCGAGATTGTGCCATTGCACTCCAGCCTGGGCGAGGGAGCAAGACTCTGTCTCAAAAAAAAAAAAAAAAGGAAAGAAAAAAAAAGAAGTGATAGGATCTTAAATGTTAAGGGCTGGGAGGGAATGGAGGGAGTGGTAAGAAAAGCAGAACTCCCAGGACTTGGGAGGAGCCAAAGGTAATTCTGATTATCCCTGGGCAACCAGGTGGATGGTGGTATCATGAATAGCAACAGGGAATGTTGGAGACGCATGCTTAAGAGGGAAGAAGATGAATTTGTACTAAGCTTGATTTTCGGGGATGTCCTCTATGGGATGTCAGAGTGGAAATGTCCAGGATGCAGTTGGATTAATGGGTTTAGACTTCAGAAGTAAGACTAGCTTGGGAGCCATCTACTTCTAGGTGGTAATTAGGGCTGTGAGAGTAGAAAGAACCAGCGGCAAAGAGAACAGAAAGTGAAAGAAGCAGAGGCCCTAGGAAAGAATCCCGGGGGGTGTATATCAACATTTAAAGGAGTAAGGTGAAGAAAATGAGCCTGCAAAGGAGGCTGAGAAGAAATAGTAGGAGAGATAGGAATAGAATCAGCCAGGACATTGCTGGAAAAGCCAAAGGCAGAGAGCATTTCAACGAGGCAGTGAGGAATGGCATAAAGTGCTGCGTTGATATCAAATAAGATGGAACCCAAAGGCAACATTGAACTTAGCCACAAGTTTGCGATTCCCGGCCTTGGAGAGAAGCATTTGAGTGGCTATGCTGGGGGCAGAAGCCAGACTGCAGTGGGTTGAGGAATGAATGAGAGATGGAGAAGAGGAAACAGCAAATATAGAACAACTCTTTCTCCTTCTCATCCTGTCAAGGACTTCTTGACAGGGCAGAGGCTGGTAAGAAAGAGCAGGGTTAAGGGGAAGTTTCTTCAGCACAAGAATGCTTACGTGCAGCACGAGAAGGAGCTGGCAGAGAAGGAGTGAAGAAGGCGAAGACACAGGAAACAGAGTATTCAGGATGGAGTGAAGGAGGAGGGAAGGAGACAAAATGACCAGGTAGAGGCACACCTACTCCTCTACAAATGCAGATGAAAGCTGCAGGTGGGGAAGAGAGCCAGGGGGCTCCCACCAGAAAGAGACAAGCAGGGCTTCCCCCAGCCCCACGTGCTCCAGTGGCCCCTGGCCCCACCTGTCAGTATAGGGCATGAGCCTATCCTTCCTGAAGCAAGTATCCCCAAGGGACTGGTCAGGCTCTGACTCCAGGCCAGCTTTAGGCTGTGAACAGGTAGTGTAAGATCTCAGAGGCTCTTTGAAAGCCTTTTTAACCGGTAGACATCTCCCTCACTTGCTTATTAGTGCTTGACCACCATAAAGGGCACCACGTGGTAATTTCAACTGTGGAGCTTATTTCACACATCACACATATAGATCAGACACTTCTACTTGGTGCATCACTCCTCTCTGCATAATAACCTGCTTTCAAAAACATTTCCCTTCTCTAAAAGCATTCTGATTTAAGAAATATGCCAATGATGATTAACATCCTGCGGTCAAAACAGAACTTGCACTTGAATGCAGACACTAAGAACAGCAATTGAAGAGCCTGCAGTTCATCGATGCATGGCAAGGGATTGCTACCCGGTCCTATCTGGGTTTCAGAATGGGGAAATGGGTAAAGAACCTGTCTGAGTGCCAGGAGCCTGATGAAGAAAGAGGGGCAGAGGACAGTTACCAACTGCCACCCCGTGGAACAGGGCCCCAGCTTGGGGATCCCCTCCAGCGCAGCTGCTTGGAGCTGTCACGGATGCGTGCATGTGTGTGTGGTGATCCGCCTTGCTGGTCCTCTGGGCCTCCTCCCTTCCCTTGCCCTTCAAAGCAAGGCAGCAGTACTTCCCAAGCCTGCGCCCCACAGCTCTCCTGGCAGGTGTGCAGTGGCGAAGGGTGAACAGGCAAGCAGAACTGGCAAGTGAGCCGCCCCTGCTCCTCGAGGTCTTAGCACCCGTGTCTCGCCTCCCCTGTGAATTCTCCAGGGGAAGGCTTCCACACCACCTGGGTGGGCTGAGCTGAGCTGGGCTGGACTGGGCTGGCAGGAGTGGTACCTGAAGGGTTTGCTGTCAGGGTCGGTGTCCTTGAAGCCCATCTCCTCCAGCTTACAGCGGCGATACAGCTCATAGTGCCGGGTGTGGGTCTGCTCCCGCAGATCCTCCATGTTGACCCGAATCAGCATCTCCCGCAGCTTCACAAAGTCGCAGTGGGCCTCGTTTTCAACTGCATAGCAGGGTTTGGGGTATTGAAAGTATGTTGAAAGGAAGGCCAGCGGAAGCAGAAATGGATGAAACGAGAGGCAAAATGTCTAACAGTGACGTTGCCTTGCAATCTGTGTATTTAGATCCTGCAAATTTACTTCCTCTCTTTTTTACTGAAAATGTAAATGAAAGGTTACAAAAATGCCAGTAATGAAAAATGGTGATACCATAAAAATACTTGTTAAGACAGTCAGTAGCACCACAATCTAAATTCAGCAGTCAGACCTTCAAAAGAATGTTTGGTCTACACCACTTGTAGGACAACAGCACATATGCATCTATCCATCCATCCATCCATCCATCCATCTATCCATCCATCCATCCATCCATCCATCCATCCATCCACCCATTCATCCATCCATCTATCCATCTATCCAATCAATATTTGTGGAATCTCTGTTCCCATTATTGTGTGAGGCACTGGGAATTCAGAAACGAAGTCATGGAATCTTGCTGTCAGGAGCTTACAGTTTAGAGGAAGAATAGATGCAAATAGACAAATACAATTCAGTGCAAAACTACAAAAACAGAGGGATAGTCAAGTGGCAATAAAGCTCAGAAGAGGGGGGCCTAAGAGCTCCTGGGAAAGTGAAGACTTCACCGAAGAGAAAATCCCTAAGATGACTCTGGAAGGAAGAATAGTAATTTATCAGCCAGAGAAGGGAATGGTGTTTGCAAGGTGTCAATGAGGTTAGGCAAGGTTATGTAGCTAGTAAGTTGCAGAGTTAGGGCTCAAACCCAGGCAATGTAGGGGAGGTGACAAAGTCTCCAAATAATAAGGGGAAAGAACTAGGATATTGATAGATGACAGTGACAAGGAGGGGTGTGGACTGCAGGCATGGCCCACCTGGATGGTAGAAGCTTCCAAGGAGGTGGTTTCTTTAGAGGGTAGATAATGGCCTGACAGTAGCAATGGTGACTAGGAGCAAGGGGACCCCACTTTCTGGCCTGTGTGAACAAGTCCCCTCTTCAAAAGAGTGCAAGCAAAGGTCTGCAATTTTGGGCAGTGGTCAAGAATGACAGATGTGGACCAAGTCATAGCAAAATCGATTTCTGGCTAGACCAGGTCACAAGCAGTACTTTGTCAAGGTGGCTACAGGTATGGCTTCACTGTGTCGGATGGTGGTATTTGGCCTGAACAAGTAGGAAAAATGGTGTCTGAAGTGATGAGCAGGCAGTCACCCCAGATTCTGTCTTGCAGAGTCTGGAAGAGGGTACTGGGGGCAGAGAGGGGCCTGGGATAAGTGGGTCAGCTGTAGTTGAAGCAGACTGCCTTGTGGTCATCAGTCTTTCCAAAGCCCGAATCAGCTCACATAATCCTTCTGCTTAAGACCCACTGAATTAGGAATAAAGCCCCCTGCTGTCATAGAACATAGGCTAATATTAAAGATGACATCAGTAAGACAACTTCTCAGGACTATGCTATATGCAACTTCTCAGTACTATGCTATATGCCATCTCCTCCTCCATCTCTGGACAGTGATCTCTGATGGTGAGTCAGAAGGAGTGCCTCCAAGGCCCCTGCAGGCTACCTAAGCAATATACAACTTCTTCCTCATTCAAGCAGAGCAGTCAACTTAGACTTACAAGAAAAACTTTCAAAGCCCCCTTTATTGTTTAGGTTCAGGGTAGTCCACGTCAGATGAAGTAAGTCATTGGAACCATGTCTACTGGCTTCTCCTCATCTCACTTTAGGTTCCTGTTTCTCAGACCACAAGTCCATTCCCAGGGTGGGACTGTGGGTCCAGAAACCATTTGCAAACGTTCCTAGTGGAGCAACCCCAGCTCCGAACAGCAGAGAAGACCAGAACTTAGCACAGCTCTGATAACCAGTCTTGTCCTACCTATAGAAAATCCAGCTATTGTCAGTGGGTCTGCGGGGTGTTCTAAAACATGCCAGCCTTCATATGTGATGCGGACAACTCGCCACCCACTTTCAGGTGTTTCCCCAGTGGTAGGGATGAGGTTACAGAGAACCAGCCACTCTTTCACACGATGCCCCTATCAGCCACGGCCCGTTTCTAGCTGTAGACTCTCAGGACCAAAGACCTCTTCTACCCACAGCACTGTCCTTGGCCTTGTCTTATGCACTGAACTGACTAGCCCTGAGGGTAAGTTAACATATGTCAGACAGATCCCAGAAGGAACTTTCCTGAGTGTAATACAATATGTCTGATTGCTTTTCAATTGTGAAATAATCATACATTCAAAAGAGAGCATGAAATATGTATGTGCAATTTAAAGAATTTTTGAAAAATTAACACCAATGTCTCCACAACTCAGGTTAAACATTACCAGTATCTTGGAAGCCCCTGAGTGCCCTTTTCCAATCTCATCCTCCTTTATCCCCCCACTCCCCTGGCAGAGACTTAACCCCTCTCCTGACTTTGGAGAGTATCATTCCTTTGTTTTCTTTACAGTTTTACCTCTCATGTATGCATTCCTAAAAATGTATATCTTGTTTAGTTTTGCCTCCTTTTGGAATTCATACAAAGGGAATCCAATGGTATGTTTCTTTCTTTTTTTTTTCAATCTCGCTCTGTCGCCCAGGCTGGAGTGCAGTGGCGAAATCTCAGCTCACAGCAATCTCTGCCTCCTGGGTTCAAGCGATTCTCTTGCCTCAGCCTCCTGAGTAGCTGGGACTACAGGCACATGCCACCATGCCTGACTTTTTTTTTTTTTTTTTTGTATTTTTAGTAGAGACGGGGTTTCACCACGTTGGCCAGGTTGGTCTTGAACTCCTGACTTCAGGTGATCTATCCGCTACGGCCTCCCAGAGTGCTAGGATTACAGGAGTGAGCCACTGCGCCCAGCCCCAATATGTAGTTTTTTAAAATCCCTTACCCCCTTCCTACCCTCCCATTATCCAGTCTTTTTTTTTTTTTTTTTTGTACTTTTAGTAGAGATGGGGTTTCACCATGTTGACCAGGATGGTCTCGATCTCCTGACCTCGTGATCTGCCTGCCCCGGCCTCCCAAAATGCTGGGATTACAGGCGTGAGCCACCATGTCCGGCCTATCCAGTCTATTTTAATGAATATCTGGATTGTTTGTAATTATTTGTCATTACAAACAACACTACTGTGAACATTCTTGTGCATTTCCTGGTGCACTTGGGCAAGAACACAGGCTTTCTCGCACACTCCTTCCTACCTTGCAAGTCTTTGTGTTTAGGAATACTTTTCCCATGAGAGACAGAGGAAGCTTGCTCCCATCAGGGCATCCCAGTATGGAGCCAGAGTTAGCTTCCTAGTGACCCCTATGGCTATTTGGGACCCATGCCAAATGAGCAGAGACTTGGGACAGTTTAGAAACTTGTCATATAGTGGCTGGGGGCAAACAAAGAGGCAGACAAAAGGGGTTTCCTACATGTAGCCCCTCTCCCGGAGACTCACTCACCCTGCACAGTGCCCCAAGGATACTGCCGCGCCCTCATCATCTTGTTGCCTATCTTCAGTTCTTCTGTGCTGCCGATGACAGCAAACGGCAGGTGGGCCTGAAACCGAAGGCAAACGAAAGCTGAGAACTGCAGAGGAAAGGCACTGAGTGTTACACAACCCAACTGCTGTTGGTCTCTGGGGCCCCAGACCCTCACCCTGCAATGTCCCTCACTGTCATCATCACCAACAAGCATTTATTAAGTTCCCAAACTATGTGAGGATAAGAGGCCTAGTCCAAGCTTCTGCTGTTCAGAAATTCACAATAGAGGGTAACAATGACATGGCTGAATGCATAGGGAACAAAGAGAGAAAATAAGCAGAATAATACGCAGACACACAGATTACCAAGCTATTCGCTATTCATAGTTACTGCTGACGGCAAGAGCCTTTGGAAGATGGGGGAGTGGAATGAGGGGGGTTCTGTGTGGATAGAGAGGATAAAGGAGTACCGAAGGGTCTCAGATCACTGGCCCTTCTCCCTCCCTGGCGTGCAAGAGCCCCAAGACTAGGTCCATACTGAGACCACAAAGCTGACTGAGCTGTATTGTCCTTGTTCTCATCCTTCCCTGGAGAAAGAGCTGACACTGAACTCGTGAGCCTAGAAGGCAAGTCACTAAGGATTTACTCACATGACCGTGCTGGGTGCTGCTGTAGGTGCTATAAGGCAGATAGAAGCAGCAGAAGACATGCTCCCTCGCCCTCTAGGAGCTTACAGTCTAGTTGAGGGAGCCCAAATTACATAACTCAAGTCATATAAGATAGTATGTGATCAAGGGCTCAAGTATATGGTCTGGTGCCCTGTACATAGCAGGTGCTTAATAACTACTTCCTGAATGGCTGTGGTAAGGCTAGGGAAAGAGGAAAGAAAGGCAAAGGACAAATAGGTTTATGAGCTTGGTGCTCACAGGGGGAATGAGGAGCTTGGCCTGGCTTTATGGGTCAGAGAGAGCTGCCCCGACTTGGTAGTGTGGGGCCTGGGAAACACTCACAGAGCCCCAGTCCACAAGGAGCTGGCCAGCCTGTCAGTGCTGAGTCACCACAGCCAAATGGAACTACGGAATCAATGTTTACCGACCAGGTGAGCCCAGGCGGGGCTTTGCCCAAAAGGGCTTTACACCAACAGGTAAAGAGCCTATGGGGAAAGTTTCTTAGCCTGCTTGCAGAAACAGACCATGATCTCAGATATTTTGACCCATTTGCCCACTCACCCTAGCTCCTGTGATATATGCTAGGGATTAAGAACAATGTAATGGCAAAAAAGCACAGAGCCTGGCCCCGGAGACTGCACAGTGTGCCCAGGGAGAAAGCCATCCCGACAATGATCAGACAGCAAGATGAGGGTTGTGCCAGAAGTGGAGGTTGCAGTGAGCCGAGATCGCACCACTGCACCCCAGCCTGTGTGACAGAGCAAGACCCTGTCTCAAAAAAAAAAAAAAAAAAAAAAAAAGATCAAGGTCGTAAACAGGGCTGGAGTAACACAGAAGAGGGAGCAATTAACTTCGTGGGAAGTCAAATAAGTCGTTTCAGAGTAGGTAGTGGCAATCATACTAACAGCGTTAGCATTAGCAATAATTTGTTAAGCCCTATACACTGGGTACCAGCTGCTTTACATGGTATTGTCTCACTGAATCTCTACGACAACACTATATGGTAAGTTGCCTTATTATTCTCCTCTTTAGATGGGGAAACTGAGGTCTGGAAGGGCTAAGGGACTTGCCAGCAGGCACACAATAGTAAGGAACAGAATGAGGTATGGAATCCTGGTCTCTCTGACTTCAAAGCCCACCCCTTGCTGGTCTGCTACTTCCGTTTAGGGGGTTCAAGCAGTAGATGAGGTGAGTACTCTAAACCCTGGGGGAACTAGTTGTTCAAGACCAGATTATCAGAGGCAATTCAATTCAGGGAAACCCACAGCAAATCTGTTGCTTGTTTGTTTAATCCACAGGCTGATGTCACAGCCAATCCTTCCTCTCCATTCTCCTCTAGCTCTGGACCCCAAAAATGTCCTTCAGAGCAGAAGAACACAGACTTTCATCAGGAGCTCAGCTCCAGGACCTCCACCAATCCCTTCAATTGCTTGGCTGCCAGCTGAAGCTGCTCTTCTTTCACCTTCTCGCCTCTCAGCTGCTATCAGATGATCATCTCAGCCTCTCTCCAACCCCTCCCCACTCCACTGACTGTCCCATAAATCTGGACATGGGAAAGAGGAGGTTATGGATATGGAAGGTGGGTGTGGGGTGGAGGTGAGAAATGTTTCATCCATTCTGGGAGGGGAATGACCAGAAGAGTAACTGGGCAAGTGACACACAGGGCATTTGGGAAGCACTGAATTCGTGAAAATGCTGCCCAAGGGCCTAAGCATCTCCAGTCTTTGCCAGGAGGGTTGATCTGGCCACAATTCATTCCCACTCAGGGACCTAAGACATATCGGGAGCCTCGAATCCACCCCTAAACACTTTCTGGGAAAACATTTCCCCTGCAGAGACCCCACAGCTTCAGCCACATGACACAGAAGAGCCAAGGGGCGGCGAATGCAGAGAGCTAGACTGAGGGAGGAGGTGATAAAGAAAAACCACGTTGTAGCACTCCCTCATCCTGGGCTCTCAGCTGTAAGTGATGGAGGAGGAAGGCATGTGAAGTGGGAGGTGCTTCTCCGAGCTCGAGAAAAAAAAAAAAAAGAAGAAGAAAACAAAGGCATACAAAAATGTCAGTATTCCCTCGGGCCTGTTCCATTTTTATCATCAAGAGACACTGTCAGAATGATAGGGTGACTTGCTTCCCCCTCTTTCTCAAACTGCTGTCATTTTATTCTTCTAGCTCAAAAATATAGCCCCAGCCCTCCCACGGCACACTCCTTTGCAGCTGGCCTCAGTCTGTTTTGATAAGTATATGCAAGGTAGGCATTTCCCAGCGGTCTCCTTTCGTTTGACTTTCACAGCATCCTTCTATGGCAATGATTAAAAGATCCATTCATGAGTTGGGGGAACTGGGATACAGGGAGGTTAAACGAGTTGCCTAAGTCCCTAACCCGCATGCCCAGATCCTCTGAAGCAGCAGCAAGGCCACCGAGCTTTGGCTGCCAACCTCTCCCAGCCACCTAGGGTGGCCCGCACTCTGCCTCCTGGCTACATGGCATCCGCTAGAAGGAAGCAAACCATGACAAGCAGGAAATCATGGGGACCAGGCTCTGGCCCTCTGTTCCACTGCTTTTGAGAGACAGATGGCTTTGACAACCAGAATGGAGTCGAGCGGAGCAGAGAGCAGATACCCACCCTCCCCCCGCACCACCACCGACCATACTCCTAGGTCCTACCAGTGGGATCCAAATCTGAGGCTGGGCTTTCTGCTATTTTTCCCAGGTCTCTGTAGGAAACTGACAGACAGGGGTGACATTTTCTATGTGTGGACCCAGGGAGGAGACTCTGTTAGATGCAGGGCAGTGTTGCTGCTGAAACACAAACAGCCCTCTCAGGGGAGTCTGTGTAAATCTCTCACTCAGACTTCCAATGAGGCACCCTCGGATGTCAGATTTCCCAGTGTCAGAAAACTCCAACAAGAGATAGTCTCAAGCCTCTCTTGGGAGTCCATTCCTAGATTCACTATCTGTCTTAGTGCATTTTGTCTTGCTACAATAAACTACTTGAGACTGAGTAATTTATCAACAATAGAAATTTATTCCTCATAGTTCTGGAGGCTGGGAGGTCCAAGATCAAGGCACCAGCATCTATCTGGTCTGGTGAGGACCTTCTTGCCACATCCTCACACAGCAGAAGGACCAGCTAGCCCAACACTGCATGATGTCTCTTTAAAAAGGGTCTTCGGCCAGGCGTGGTGGCTCATGCCTATAATTCCAGCACTTTGGGAGGCCGAGGCAGCTGGATCACGAGGTCAGGAGTTCAAGACCAGCCTGGCCAAGATGGTGAAACCCCCATCTCTACTAAAAATACAAAAATTAGCTGGGCGTGGTGGTGGACGCCTGTAATCTCAGCTACTCGGGAGGCTGAGGCAGAGAATTGCTTGAACCTGGGAGGCAGAGGTTGTGGTGAGCCAAGATCACACCACTACACTGCAGCCTGGCCGACAGAGCAAGACTGCATCTCAAAAAAAAAAAAAAAAGGCCTTCATCCCATTAACAAGGGAGGAGCCCCTCATGGCCCAATCACTTTTTTTTTTTTTTTTTTAAAGACGGAGTTTCACTCTTGTTGCCTAGGCTGGAGTGCAATGGCACAATCTCAGCTCACTGCTGCAACCTCCGCCTCCCGGGTTCAGGTGATTCCCCTGCCTCAGTCTCCCGAGTAGCTGGGATTACAGGCGCCTGCCACCACGCCCAGCTAATTTTAGTATTTTCAGTAGTGACGGGATCTCGCCATGTTGGCCAAGCTGTTCTTGAACTTGGGTGATCCACCTGCCTCAGCCTCCCAAAGTGCTGGGATTACAGGCATGAGCCACCGCGCCCAGCCAGGCCCAATCACTTCTTAAGGGCCCTTTTTTTGTTTTTTCTTTTTTTGTTTTTTGTTTTTGAGACAGTCTCACTCGGTTGCCAGGCTGGAGTGCAGTGGTGTGATCTTGGCTCACTGCAACCTCCACCTCCCGGATTCAAGTGATCCACCTGCCTCAGCCTCTCGAGTAGCTGGGACTACAGGCGTGTGGCACCATGCCCAGCTAATTTATCTTTTTCTTTTTTTTTGCAATGGAGTTTCGCTCTTGTTGCCCAGGCTGGAGTGCAATTGCGTGATCTCAGCTCACCACAACCTCCACCTCCTGGGTTCAAGCAATTCTCCTGCCTCAGCCTCCTGAGTAGCTGGGATTATAGGCATGCACCACCATGCCCAGCTAATTTTGCATTTTTAGTAGAGATGGGGTTTCTCCATGTTGGTTAGGCTGGTCCCAAACTCCCGACCTCAGGTGATCCGCCTGCCTCAGCCTCTCGAGTAGCTGGGATTACAGGCATGAGCCACCGTGCCTGGCAATTTTTTGTATTTTTAGTAGAGACAGGGTTTCACCATGTTGGCCAGGATGGTCTCGATCTCTTGACCTCTTGATTTGCCCACCTTGGCCTCCCAAAGTGCTGGGATTACAGGTGTGAGCCACTGTGCCCGGCCCCCACCTCTTAATACTATCACACTGGCCACATTTGAATTTTGGAGGGGACACAATCAAACCATAGCACCACCTTTACTGACTTGTGTCTAACTTAAATTCTTCTTGGTACATTGTAAAGTACTTAATAATCCAATTGGCATGAGTTACTTTATTCTTATTTCACCACATCCATTATACTTGGGAGGCTAGGTGACTGTCTTCCTTAACCCAGTGAAATAGACAATGTCAGAACTCTTTATTCCTCATCTAATGATAATATTCTGATTGGGCTTGCTTCCCTCCCAGAGTGGACAGTGTTTCCCAGTTATGTTAGTCCCCATTTCAGGCTTCTGCTGGTGACTGAACAAGACCATTGGCTGATTTGCTCTCAAGTCAACCACTGGTGATTCCTGCAAAAGTACATGGAAACAATGGAAATACCACTGCTGTCTCAGAGGAAGGGATGGACTTGTGTCTATGGGTCTCCCCGTGACCCTACTGTTCAGCCATGTGCTCTCACTGGACCCAAATGTCAACTGCCTTTGTGGGAACCAAACCCCAGACCTCACAAATGGACAACTAATGGAGCTTAGTCAAATAAGTAACTGGGCCTTTTTGCTGGTCCTGGTCATGGTTTGAGCCATGCAAAGAACATCATTAAATTTAAAACAACATAGCAATTTTCAGTATTAAAGTCTACAACCTTGAGAGATATCAGAGTATGAGTTGAAAATAGCATGCAACAAGACCTCGCTCTCCCTTCCCTTCCCCCTCAATCTAAAATAAGGTTTTCTGGAGTCACCCATAATCCAAGGTAGTGGCTGGGACCTCATTACTCTCATTTCCTGCCATAAAAATCCCTCATGGTGACAGACAGGACATTGTCCAGTCTTCTCCACTCAGGCAACAGCCTTCTTCCACTTCTTCCAATCCAGCTCCTATGACAATTGGCTGGGATGGCTGAGGCTGTGGGGTTGGAGTCAAATCCAAAATGAAAGACCAGCACCAATTCCTCCTACCACCCAAGCCTAGGTCCTGAGGATGCAGTTTCATACACCACGGCTTGTGTGAAGACTCTGGGGACTTTTGACGTAGTTGTTCAGTGGCAGGCAGGCTAAGCAATCGTCTGTGTATATTTGATAGCACCCTCTTTCCCATCACAGCGCATGTAACACAAAGCACTCACATGCAAGCTCCTCTCACAGGCATGCCAATTCCAGGCACACTAGATGTGGGGCCACTCCTCTCTTTCCCACTCAAAAAAACCACGTGGATTAGCCGAGCAAGGTGGTGCATGCCTGTGGTCCCAGCTACTCAGGAGGCTGAGGCAGGAGGATTACTTGAACCCAGGAGGTGGAGGCTACAGTGAGCTGAGATTGATTACATCACTGCACTCCAGCCTGGGCGACAGAGCGAGAGCCTGTCTCAAAAAAAAAAGAAAAAAAGAAAAAGAAAGAAAAAAAAAGCACAGTGGGATGCAAGGGAGTAAGTGGTGAGTGATTTATAATAGGGATAATCCTGAATCCATTGGAATTCCCTCCCTCCCTCCCTCTTTCTCCTTCCTACCTTCCTTCCTTCCACTGGAATTCCCTCCTTCCCTCCCTCTTCCCTCCCCTCCTTCCTTCCTTTTTGTTTCTTTCTTTCTATTTAGTTTTTTTTTTTCTTTTTTCTTTTCTTTCCTTTCTCTCTCTTTCTGGATTATTTTTTTTTTTGGTGAGACAGGGTGTTGCTCTGTCACCCAGCCTGGAGTAGTGCAGTGGCACGATCAGGGTTCACCGCAGCCTCAACTTCCCGGGCTCAAGTAATCCTCCCGCTTTAGGCCGCCCACCGACCAAGTAGCTGAGACTACAGGTGTATGCCACAGCACTAGTTAATTTTTTTTTTTTTTTTGAGATGGAGTTTTGCTCTTGTTGCCCAGGCTGGAGTGCAAAGGTGCAATCTCAGCTCACTGCAACCTCTGCCTCCCTAGGTTCAAGCGATTCTCCTGCCTCAGCCTTCCAAGTAGCTGGGATTACAGGCATGCACCACCACACCCAGCTAATTTTGTCTTTTTAGTAGAGACGGGGTTTCTCCATGTTGGTCAGGCTGGTCTCGAACTCTTGACCTCAGGTGATCCACCCACCTCGGCCTCCCAAAGTGCTGGAATTACAGGCGTGAGCCACTGCGCCTGGCCACCAGTTAATTTTTTTTTTTTTTTAATTTCAGTAGAGATGAGGTCTTGCTATGTTGTTCAGCCTCGAATTTTGTTTTTCAAAGTGAAACACAATTATGAGTAATAAAGGACCCAAAATTCCTTCTCAGCCATAACAGCATGCTTGACAACTGCTGTTGCCTAGCTTGGGGGTTTCCAGCCTTGAGGTTGAGCCTACCCTAGGCTCAGTAGGAGGCCAGAGCTGAGCTGAGAACAGAGCCCAGGATGACTGTCACTCCTAATCCACGAGGTACAAAGATGTGGTTCTGTGTGACATCTTGAGATGGCTGACAACTCTCAGTCCCTATTTATTCTTAGCAAAGCAAACCACAAGCCTGAAAGCTGCTTGGTGACTTAGGGCATCAGTGTTCAGAAGGTCTCTATGGCGACTGATGTCCTGAGGTGACTAGACGCTTCCAGACATCAGTGCCGGTGGCACCTAGACAACACTTCTCACGAGGCTCCCGTTTTTCTGCAGACTAGGCTGTCTCTTCATAACAGAGCCTAGTTTCCATCAAAATGCCCTGACTTCTCGAGAGGACAAGCACTAATCTTTTTTCATTTTTCCATGCCCATGGCCGGTCAGAGAAGACCTATCTCCACCTGCCACGCTCCAGAGAACCTTACCCTTGAACCAGATTTGTCTAAGGTGGTGATGGTGATAACAAACCCATCTCGGGTGTACTGATGGACAGGAAGTCAGGCGAGACAATGACTTGCTGCCCTGCTATGCTAATTTGTTGGCCAATTCATAGGAGGTGGCAGCTGATGTTGTAATGATAACTTAGAGGGCAGTGGCAGCAGGAAAGTTTTCTAAAAATGGCTTTTATTACAAGGCTTTCCTGAGTTTGGCTATACCCAGGCATTATGTCATTAGGAAAAACTGATGCCACTCAATAGAGAAAAAGAAATCTGTTCCCAAAGCAGACGCTTTCTGAAAGCTATTAGCTGTCTGCTTGAAATCACAACATTGAAGATTTCACAGCAACAGCAACACATTGTAAGGAAGCATTAGGAGATGTTTGCCTCTCTGCCTTCTTTATTAGTCATTCCTCTAGTAGGGAAAAGTGGGGGAGGAGAGGAAAGATGGCAAGGTTTCTTTTTTTTTTTTAAATTCATTCACACTTAATAAAGCAAAACATAACCCTGATTTTTTTTTTTTTTTTTTGAGATCAGTCTCACTCTGTCGCCCAGGCTGGAGGGCAATGACGTAATCTTGGCTCACTGCAACCTCTGCCTCAGCCTCCAGAGTAGCTGGGATTACAGGCGCACACCACCACGCCTGGATAATTTTTGTATTTTTTAGTAGAGACGGGGTTTCGCCATGTTGGTCAGGTTGGTCTCAAACTCCTGACCTCAGGTGATCCACCCGCCTCAGCCTCCCAAAGTGCTGGGATTACAGGCCTGAGCCACCATGCCCAGCACACCCTGATATTTAAAAATAACATCTCTCGGTTGCAGTGAGCTGAGATTGTGCCACTGTACTCCAGCTTGGGCAATGGAATGAGATCCTGTCTCAAAAAAAAAAAAAAAAAAAAAAAAGAGTAAAAGAAAAAAAAAAAGAGTTAACTACACTAAGATGGATGGTGAAGATGTTTTGCTGCTCTTTGGTAAAATAATAATAATAAAGGGGTCAGCGTGGTGGCTCACACTTGTAATCCCAGTACTTTGGGAGGCTGAGGCAGGAGGACTGCTTGAGCCCAGGGGTTCAAGACCAGCCTGAGTAACATAGCAAGACCCCGTCTCTACAAAACATTAAAACATTAGCCAGGTGTGGTGAGTGCACCTGTAATCTCAGCTACTTGGGAGGCTGAGGCAGGAGGATCCCTTGAGCCCAGGAGTTCAAGGCTGCAATGAGTTGTGATCACACCACTGCACTCCAGCCTGGGCAACAGAGCAAGACTCTGTCTCTAAAACAAATTAAAATAATGATAATCATCATAAAAAGCAAATGGTCAGGAAATTGCTCCCACTTACATTCATGGTTCCATTGATCTCTGCTACTGACTCATCATCTGTAGGAAACTGATAGATCTGGACTCCGTTGCTGACAAGCTCGCTGGTGATTTTGATTTTGAACTTCGTTAGCTCACTCTTCGAAATGGCATCTGCTTTGGCAATGATGGGGATGATGTTCACCTAGGGAGAGGAGGGCAAAGCGGGGTCATTGTTGGTAACCTGCAACTGATAGCAGCATCACCTAAGACTTCCACCAGCTGCCAGAGGGAGCCGCTCAGCCCAGTGGTCAAGGACTGGCCGCTTCTGTAGCCAAATGACAATACAATAAACGACAAGTACTAACTGTGCTAGGCACTGAACTAAGTGCTTTACATGAATTAGCACAATTAATCCTGACAATAACCCTTCTTTCCAGGAGGTATTATTACTATTTTGCCAATGAGAAATTAAGGCATAGGGAGGTTAAGTAACTTGTCCAAGGCCATGGAGCAGGTAAGTAGCAGAACTGGGATTCGAATCCAAACTCAGCCTTATTCCTAAGTCCATAGTCTTAAGCATGAGCTGTCTACCAGTTCAGATCCAAACTGATGAGCTGTATGATATCTTGGTATCAAGGTTACTGCTTGGGAGATATGAAGCAGAAAGGTGATAGCTGGGAATCTGTGGCTGACAGGGGAGAGGTGGCCTCTTCTTGCTAACAGTAAATTGTTCCAACCCATCGAGTCCGGGCTAGCCCCAGCCGGGCATGATATGGACCCACATGAGAGATGGCAGGGAAAGGAGGCAGGACAGTGCTCAGCGAGGATGTACACCTGGCTCTCTTTCTGGCAAGAGACACTGAATAACCAACTCGGTTAGGTGAGGAAGAACCTCTAGTTACAATTTGATCTGAGACTTATGCAAAAAGAATTATACTGCCTGAGTCTCATGATTAATTTCTGAGTAAGAAAAGCAGTATAAATGCCCAATTTCAGGCATCAGGAGAAAGGCCTAATGCCAACCAAAAGTTCAGTCCACCTGAACCCTAATCCTTGAAATTGCTCCAAGAAGGGACAAGGCTTTTACTGTCAGAAGGTAAAGAAACTTGAAATGCACGCGTGTTTGTGAGACAGAGCACACTAAGGTCAAGTTGACATGGAGAGCATAATCATTCCTGCCAGGAGACTCCAACAGGGGGGTGGGGGGGGGAGTGGGGGGCATAGGTGGCACTCAGGCCCCGGGCTCTGAAAGGGGAGTCTGGGAGCACCAGACGTGAAAGATAAATCCTGCCTCCTTTGCACTTTGGCTTAGGAGTGCCTCTGAAGGCTGATACCACACAGGTGGTGGGTCAAAGAAAGACTGAACCTTGGAGGCACCTCCCTTGAAGTCTTTCGCGGGCAGAGGGGTCAATGCCCTTGCCAAGATGAAACAGCAGGCAGAGCCTATTCTCCTTGGCACTTTCGCCAAGTCCCCATTGACACACCATAAACATATATCAGGCCGGGAGCAGTGGCTCATGCCTATAATCCCAGCACTTTGGGAGGCCGAGGGGTGGATCACCTGAGGTCGGGAGTTTGAGACCAGCCTGGCCAACATGGTGAAATCCTGTCTCTACTAAAAATAAAAAGTATCCGGGTGTGGTAGCGCATGCCTATGATCCCAGCTACTCGGGAGGCTGAGGCAGGAGAATTGCTTGAACCCGGGAGGCGGAGGTTGCGGTGAGCTAAGATCGTGCCATTGCATTCCAGCCTGGACAACAAGAGTGAAATTCCATCTCAAAAAAAATTAATTAATTAATTTAAAAATATATATATATATACAGACACACACATATATATCAAAGGTTTAACTCAGCCCATCCACCAGGCCTGCAGCCATGTGGCTCACCAATGCCCCTATACAGGACATGCAGGGCATGGCCACATTTCAAGAGCAGCCTTTTATTCATGGGCCATGAGCCCATTGCTGCAAAAAATGAAAAACCGCTCCTATTCTGATGAGAGCTGAAATTCAGTTTTAGAGTGGATGTGCTACTAAATGGCTGCATGTAAATTCGATTATTATTGTTTGGTATATAGTCTTGCTCTGTCACCCAGGCTGGAGTGCAGTGGCATGATTCCGGCTCACTGCAACCTCCACTTCCAGGTTCAAGTGATTCTCCTGCCTCAGCCTCCCCAGTAGCTGGGATTACAGGTGTGCAACACCATGCCCAGATAATTTTTGTATTTTTAGTAGAGACGGGGTTTCGCCATGTTGGCTTGGCCAGGCTGGTCTCGAACTCCTGACCTCAGATGATCCGCCCACCTTGGCCTCCCAAAGTACTGGGATTATAGGCATGAGCCACCAAGCCCAGCCTAAATTCAGTTTTTGTAAAATAAAAGACCATGGAGTCAGAGCTAGGTCCAAATCCCAGACCCATTTCAAGTTGTCTGAGGTTGAGCAAGTGACTTGACTTTCTGCCCCTCAATTTCATCATGAGTGAAATGGGAATAGTAATAGTACTCACCGCTGGATTACTGGAAGGAAAAAATAAAATAATGCATATAAAGTACTCATCACAGCATCTGGCACACATTAAATGGTAGGTGAAAATGTAATTAGGCTTTCTGAAGAATCCCGTGATCAATTCTTTTGTAAAGCAAATAATCCTCTAACATGAAGAATCATTGTATAATTTATACATGGTATAGAATTTGCATTTTTAAGTTTTTTGTTTTGTTTTGGCTTTTTTTTTTTTTTTTTGAGACGGAGTCTCGCTCTGTCGCCCAGGCTGGAGTGCAGTGGCCGGATCTCAGCTCACTGCAAGCTCCACCTCCCGGGTTTACGCCATTCTCCTGCCTCAGTCCGGAGATGGGACTACAGGCGCCCGTCACCTTGCCCGGCTAGTTTTTTGTATTTTTTAGTAGAGACGGGTTTTCACCGTGTTAGCCAGGATGGCCTCGATCTCCTGACCTTGTGATCCGCCCGTCTCGGCCTCCCAAAGTGCTGGGATTACAGGCTTGAGCCACCGCACCCGGCCATGGTATTTTTTTTTTTTTTTTTTGAGATGGAGTCTTGCTCTCTCACCCAGGCTGGAGTGCAATGGCCCAATCTTGGCTCACTGCAAGCTCCACCTCCCAGGTTCATCCATTCTCCTGCCTCAGCCTCCCAAGTAGCTGGGACTACAGGCTCCCGCCACCACGCCTGGCCTTTTTTTGTATTTTTAGTAGAGACGGGGTTTCATTGTGTTAGCCAGGATGGTCTTGATCTCCTGACCTTGTGATCCACCCACCTCGGCCTCCCACAGTGCTGGGATTACAGGCGTGAGCTACCACGCCCAGCCAAGTTTTTCTTAAAGCAAGACGATGCCTGATTCCCACAGCCATCTTTCTCGGGCATTAGAAGCATTATAACATGGGGTCACAGATCTGAGTGTCACAGAATCTGCACTCTACCAGTAGCTAGCAATATGACAATGAGCAAGTCACTTAACCTCTCAGAGCTTCAGTTTTCTCTTCTGTAAAATGAGGCTAACAATAATGTGTACTTCATGGGGTGGGCATATAATGAGGGTTTTAATGTTAACTGCAATCATAAAAGTAATTATTGATAGTAAGAATGGTAACTTTCAAAGTCAAGTTTGCATGTTTGATTCTAGCCAGTTAACAATGGGACAAAGAAAAAACAGCTTTCCATTGCCAAAGCCTTTGCCCTTAGACCCAGGGAGCCGTCTTGCTAGTCTCCAAGACGGATCAGGGCAGAAAGACAGCTCAGGGCAAGCCCATCCCTAGTGCTGGGAAAACAGATCACAAAGTGTATGATGCTGGTGCTGGATCCATAACACCATCTTTATGGAGGGACGGGGAATGAGGGAGAGGATGAGGATGCCACAAATCTCTCCCGGAATCCCACATCTACTTTGCACAAGAGATCAGTAAGGGTGAGCCCCCAGCGCCCCCGCCCCTGCCTCCTATACCTTACTGTCCAGCTTCTTCATAGTCACTAGGTCCAGAGACTTCAGGGAATGACCCGTGGGGGCAATGAAATACAAGCAGACATGGATCCGGGAGTCATGGTAGGTGTGCAGCACTCTTCGGATCTTCAGCTCTTCCTGCAGGTAGGCCTCGAATTGTGCGTCAATGAATTCCACGATGGGCTTGTAGCTAAAAAGGACAGAGGTGAACCCCATCAAAAACTTGGATTTTGACCCTGTCCCTTTTGGAAGTTTCAAATGCCCTCTGTAATCCTGACTCTCTCCCATCCAGCTGCATTTCTCCATCTCCCTTCAGTGGGCCTCCGATCTTGTCAGCGTGGCCACCTTCTTGGTCTCTACGTTGAGCCAAACATATGCCCATCTGTGCACCTTCACTAGAACGCCCCTTTCTCTCTCCTCATCCCAATTCTGCCCTCCCAGACCTCAGGGCTCAGCTTAATGCCCTCCTCCTTCCTACGGCCTTCCCCACTTATGCCAGAAATCCCTTCTGCGAGTCAGGGGCATAACAAGAAATGGCATTCAATTACTTATTGTTGCTTCACAAAGATTCTCTCAACTAGATTGTCTTCCTAAAGGGCAGGGCCTGTGAAGGGCACTTCTCTGTCCCTCAGAGGGTCCCAACACAGCATGGAGCTCACTGGCCGTATCTGTAGAGGGGCTGATTTTCCTCCAAGCTGGGCTCATGTCTTTGCTTCCTTTATGTTGCCCTACAGTGCCTAGATGAGAGCTGGGTACACAGTGGGTAACGAGACCTCTCTTTGGCCCACTGCTGGGCAATCTTGTGAGCACATTCAAGGCTTTTGCTCATTCTTGCTAGGTTTAGTGGAGCTCCCCACTTGGCTCCCCCAAGGTCAAGATATTTTTCTGATTCTCATTTCTGCCAAGGTGGTGACTTTAAAATCTAAGTATTCAGGCCAGGCACAGTGGATCATGGCTGTAATCCCAGCACTTTGGGAGGCTGAGGCGGGCATATCTCCTGAGGTCAGGAGTTCGAGACCAGCCTGGGCAACATGGCAAAACCTCGTCTCTACTAAAAATACAAAAATTAGCCAGGTGTGGTGGCTCATGCCTGTAGTCCCAGCTACTCAGGAGGATGAGGCAGGAGAATCGCTTGAACCCGCGAAGCAGGGGTTGCAGTGAGCGGAGATCACGCCACTGCACTCCAGCCTGGGCAACAGAGTGAGACCCCGTCTCCAAAAACAAACAAACAAACAAAACTAAGTATCCAGGCAAAATCTGGTAAAGCTACTCCCCCCTGCACACCCTGCACACGTGGACACAGGCCTGCCAGCTCACTGAGTCTCCACACACGGCTCCTCTAGGTGGCCCCCAAGTCTTGCCAAGGCTTCTTAAACAACAGTCAGCCCTCTATGTCTCTCTGTCCTGGGCCTCCCTGGGAAACTTCCCTCTCTCCCTTTCCCAGTCCCCTCCCACGTCATCCCTGTCACCCCTACAGCCTCCTTCTGCTTTAACTAGGTCAGCTTAACTCAGCTCTGCCTCTTGTTCTCATCTCTCCTATCTGTCTGCTGCCTCTCTGGCTGAGGGGCTGCCTCCCTTCAGGCTAGAAGAGGCTGGTCATGTGGGCCCAGGGCAGGGAGTTTTCAGATACCGCTGCCAGAACAGAACATGATGATCAAAGGAGGAGCTGGGTCCAGCCAATGCCTCGTACCTGCAGCAGCTCCCAGGCTGAGCCTTTTTGAAAGATCCCCCTAGTAGAGAAGGGGGAAATAGCCTTTTAAAAAAGAATCACAGGATCCTAGATTCTGAGAGCTGCAGCCAGAGCTGAGATCCAGGTTCAGGCTATCTCTGGAGCCCCAGAGAAAAATCTTTTATTTTAGATGGAGTTTCGCTCCGTAGCCCAGGCAGGACTGCGGTGGCGCGATCTCCGCTCACTGCAACCTCCACCTCCTGAGCCCCAGAGAAAACTCTAAAAACACAGTCCTTTCTTTATTCCTTTGATCCCTCTGAGCCACTGTTCTGAAGGGTAATCGCATCAAAGAATCTCTTGGTTGCAAAGATCCTTAGAAGGTTCCTGACGAATTTGGAGTGAGGGTGGGGGATGTATCCCCTAGGCTTATCTAATTAATTTTTGGATGTTTTGCTGATTTGAAATAGTTGATGATGGCACTGCTTCATTTTTTTTCTCAATTACATTACTTTTTTTTTTTAACTTCATTTTTTGCTTTGCAGAAGGAATCAAAGGAGGAAAGAAAATAAAGCTAAAAAGTACATTTTTTAGCTCCCCCCGCCCCACCCCGGAATCTGTAGTGATACCCTGTGCCTGTCTTACTGCAATTGCCTCTGGCTCTCGGAAGCTCCCAAAATGTACATGGATCAGACCAGCCAAATCAGCCAATCAGCCACCAGGATTTGGTGCAGACGAATCCTAAATGGGTGATTTCTCTTCGTCTTATTCATCTCTGTATCCTCCACGTCTAGCCTGCTGTCTGGAACATAGTAAAGTTTCCCCTGCTGCTCTGCGTTCCCTCCACCCCCGGCCTTAGTGACTCATCTTCCCACGGTGGCCACCTCTCTCCCACAGTCTGTTGTGCTGCTCACTGGACTCCAGTGGGTGGTAAACTAAATCTTTTATTCTTATAGGCTACCTCCTCCCAAACTGCTTCCTTCCTCTAAATGACACCTGACTATCCTTCAGAGATGCTGCTTTTCTCATGTCCTTCTCAACTGGAAATTTCTTCATCTCCACACCAAAGTCCCATGGATGGGCAGAGAGCGCAGCTTTCTTCTAGCTCTTGATTCCCTTGCTCACTGTGATCTCCTCATCTCCTCCATCTTCGACCAAAACCAGATCCAACAGACTCCATCCCTCCCCATCACTACTGATAATCTTTGACATTTCAAGACAGCCGTTCTTAACACGGGGTTCATGGACCTCCTAGGTTCTGTGAATAGAATTCAGAGGATCTGTGAACTTGGATAGGAAAAAAATACATCTTTTTCACTAATCTCTAACTGAAGTTTAGCAGTTTCTTCAGCTACAGACATAGGTAACAATCTATAGTAATGTTAGCAGTACCTGTGATTTCATAACCAATAGAAATCACTGATACCATCATTTCCCATTCCAGTTGTTGCAAATAGCTCAAAATGGCATTTATACTCATTACATCCAAATTCTGATAATTATTAAGCCTGCATATAGATATTATTACTTCCAGAATTGATAGAGAAGCACATAAGATTACTAAGTCACAATTTTTAAATATTTTAATAACTGTATTTTTAGTATACTTGGTATATTTTAGGCATTTAAAAACATTATTTTGAGAATGAGCCCACAGGCCTCACTAGATTGCTAACGGGGCCAACGGCACAAAATAACCCCTGGTCTAGACAATAATTCTTATTCATTTTGGATAATGATATGTACTATGAAGATACTCCAATAGGATAATGGGATATACATGTGATTGAGGGTTCAACTACTTTAAATACAGTGATCAGGGGAGGCTTCTCTAAGGGTGTGACATTTGAGCCGCAAGGATGAGGATGAGAGAGCCATGGAGAGATCTGGGCGAAGAGCATTCCAGGCAGAGGGAAGAGCAAATGTGAGGATGGTCCTGAGGCAGAAGCCAGTCTGACAGGTTTGAGCAATGGGAAAAAGGCCAGGGAGGTGGGACTTGGTGAACCCATATTGAGTAAATTATTCACAGTAGCCCAAAGGTAGAAACAACCCAAATGTCCATCAACTGATGACCGGATAAAGAAAATGTGGAGGCCGGGCGCTGTGGCTCACGCCTGTAATCCCAGCACTTTGGGAGGCCGAGGCGGGCAGATCACGAGTTCAGGAGTTCCAAACCAGCCTGACCAACAGGGTGAAACCCCGTCTCTACTGAAAATACAATAATTAGCCAGGCATGGTGGCGGGTGCCTGTAATCCCAGCTACTCAAGAGGCTGAGGCAGGAGAATTGCTTGAACCCAGGAGGCGGAGGTTGCGGTGAGCCGTGATTGAGCCACTGCACTCCAGCCTGGGCAACAGAGCGAGACTCCATCTCAATAAATAAATAAATAAATAAATAAAATAAAGAAAATGTGGAGGCCAGGTGCGGTGGCTCACACCCGTAATTCCAGCACTTTGGGAGACCGAAGCAGACGGATTACCTGATGTCAGGAGTTCAAGACCAGCCCTGCCAACATGGTGAAACCCCACCTCTACTAAAAATACAAAAATTAGCCAGGCATGGTGGTGGGCACCTGTAGTCCCAGCTATGTGCGAGGCTGAGGCAGGACACTTGCTTGAACCTGGGAGGTGGAGGTTGCAGTGAGCCAAGATTGCACCACTGTACTCCAGCCTGGCCACAGAGCGAGATTCCGTCTCAAAAAAAAAAAAAAAAAAGACTGTGCCTTATTTCTTAGTATCTCTGACACCTCACACTGTACTTGTCACATAGTAGACATTTAAGTTTATAAAGTGGGTAATTAGCCAGGCCTGGTGGTGGGCGTCTGTAGTCCCAGCTACTTGGGAGGCTGAGGCAGGAGAATGGCGTGAACCCAGGAGGCGGAGGTTGCAGTGAGCCGAGATTGCACCACTGCACTCCAGTCTGGGTGACAGAGCGAGACTCCATCTCAAAAAATAAAAATAAAATAAAAAAGTTTATAAAGTGGACTAGGTTTCCACAGCAACTTGGTTCTCAGTCTTGTGAATTCTCTCAAATCTGCCCCTCCTCTCTATCCTCAAAGCTTCTCTTCCTGTTTAAACCCTCATCATCTCTCCCATCCTCAAGAGTTGCCCCTGACCTCCTTGTCCCCCTCTAGACTGGCCTTGTGTATTTCTCCCGGCTCAGACAAGTTTTCTTTTTTATCTCTTTTTCAGAGATGAGGCCTCGCTCTGTTGCCCATGTGGGGGAACAATGGCATGATCATAGCTCACTGTGACCTTGAACTCATGGGCTCAAGTGATTCTTCTGCCTCAGCCTTCTGAGTATCTGGGACTACAGGTGTACACCACCACGCCTGGCTAATTTTTTATTTTTTTGTAGAGACGGGGTTTCTTTATGTTACCCCAGGCTTGTCCTGAACTTTTGGGCTCAAGTGATCCTCCTACCTTGGCCCCACAAAGTGTTGGGATTACAGGTAAAAGCCACCACGCTTGACCTAAATTTATTCATGCAATAACACCTATTCTCAGCCGGGCTCGATGGCTCACG